CTTAAGTGAGTCTAAACTCCTAAATTAACTTAAGCTTAAATTTTTCGATATTTGCAATGAATATCGCGTCGGTTGACGACATCGAGGTCGAGGAGGCTTCCGTTGCCAACCGACCGGTCGTTTCGGGCTCACCGGTGAACGAGAGGGACCCCGATCAAGAAGAGCAGGACACCTCTGAAGACAGCAGTTCATCAGGAAGCGAAGAGGAACCCCCTCGCAAAAAACGGAAGCGACAAACTGAGGTAACGGTCGATCCTCGGATCGACGCGTTATACAACCAGGTATGTTTTCTTACAAACTTTATTATGCACCGACAATGTGTGCCTACTACGAGCGCAAACTCTAGTGAAAATGAGGATAAACTACCCGATAATACGAAAAACGATTTTTTGTGTAATCCGTCGACGCAAACGCCAAAATCTTTAGACCTAGGCCTTTGTAAGACTGTATTTGACGAGAAAAAAGTGCTCAAACCCGCTAATGACAAATTATTACGTCAGTTAATAAACCTGCAACAATTTAATATGCCTGCGTGGCATCACATTCGTTACAAGAAGGCGTTGGCAGATTTACTTGCTTTTCCAGGCTTCTGTAATTTAAAAATTAACGATGAAATGTGTTGTTTGAGTAAAGGAAAAGATTTCTTAGCTTCAACAGAAGAAATTATGGCTGCCACCACCAATGCCTTATTGCAACAAAGAGAACTGTTACAGTCCGGTTTACAAGGGATAATTGATTGGGCACACGGCAATCCTACGGAATTAATACCCGATAATCTTTTTAACAAAATTACGGAGTCGTTTGGGACGACATCGCAGTCCTACAAATTATCTGAGCAGACGTTACAAATAATTTGCGGCAAGAGGGCTGAGTGCATTGAAACCAGGCGCAAAAGACTAATTAACGAAATTTCCGATAAAAGTATTCAAGCTGCACTTAGTAACATACCCCCTAGTGAAGAATTTTTATTTGACAAACCGAAGCTTATGTCTTTGATCCAATCCCTCGGAGGGCCCCATTTTTGGATTTCACCACCAACAGCCACTAAATCTATAGTTAGGGACCAAATTAAAAATAAATATAATAAAGACGCAACCCCTTCTACATCAAAATACAAATCACAACCACAGAACAAAAATTTTCGTGATACCCTCAAAAAGCAAACAAAACCATACAAAGGAAAAAGTGACGGCTACAAATCTAAAAATTCTTCCTTTCGAAACAAAGATAACAAAAAATGACTATGCAGTACCACAATTCAGGGGGGGTTGCCTAAAAATGTTCAGGAATCATTGGCAAGCATTGGGTGCCAACGATTTCATCATTTCTGCAATCTCGGGGTTTCGAATACCCTTTTACAAGAAACCTCCCTTGTTAATGCCTACGGAAAAATTTTAACGCAATATGCAACCAAACCATCACCGGAAATGTCTTTGATTATAAAAGACCTTGTAAATCAAGGTGTACTGATACCGGTTACCACAAAAACACCGAGTTTCGTTTCCAAGCTTTTTCTTCGGAAGAAAAGCGACGGAACGATGCGCCCTATATTCGATCTTCGAGAACTGAACGAATTTGTAAAGACAAAACACTTTCGTCTGATTTCTCATGCTTCAATACCAGATTTCCTTCAACCTGGGGATTGGATGACAAAAATAGACATCTCTCAGGCGTATTTTCACCTACCAGTTGCAAAATCCCACCGTCCATTTTTAAGGATCAGTTACAAAGATCGTTTGTACGAAATGTCATGCCTACCGTTTGGTCTGGCCTCAGCGCCTCACCTTTTTTCGGCCGTAACATGCTGGGTCGCGGAGACCTTGCGTGCAAAGGGATGTCGGGTTCTAGTCTATCTAGACGACTTCCTTTTGGTCCATCAGGACCAATCCAAGTTATGTCATCAGGCTGCGGAAGCCGTGAGGCACTTGGAACAACTGGGCTGGCAGATCAATCACCAAAAGTCAATTTTGACACCAACACAGGATCTGGAATATCTGGGCATTCGGTGGCAGACCGCCGAGAATATCATGTCACTGCCAATAAAAAGAATTCAAAACTTAAACAATGCGCTCAGTCGATTGTTAAACAGAGACCACATCAGTCTTCGAGAGTTACAGTGCCTACTAGGTCAACTGAATTTTGCGAATTTCGTAATACCACGAGGTCGACTACATTGCCGAAAAATGCAGATTTTTCTGCGACATTTCGACAAGAAACGACCGCGCCAGAAACAGCCCATTCCTCGAATGGTATACCAGAATATGACGTGGTGGCGCGGAGCTACACGCCACAGTATGCCCATACACAAGGAGCCAGCTACCCATTTCCTGGCGACGGACGCTTCGGATTTGGGATGGGGAGCCCACATAGACGGAAAGTTATTATCAGGAGCATGGTCGCCCCAACAAACAAAATGGCACAGCAACAAAAAAGAGCTGTACGCTGTTTTGGCTGCAATCAAAGAAAATGCAAAGTTGTTGCAAAGAACTCACGTACTTGTCCTTTCGGACAACAGGACCTTGATTGCTTATATTCGGAAGGAAGGGGGGACCAGATCGTTAGCTTTACTAAACCTAACCTTCGAGCTCTTACACCTAATCGACAAGTTCAAGATAACCCTATCCGCACAGTACGTACCAGGGAGGTACAACATAATAGCAGACAGACTATCTCGCGGAAAACGTCCAGCAGAATGGCATCTTCTACCCCGAGCAACTGCGGAAGTTTTTCGGAGGTGGGGTCGACCGGAGATCGACCTATTTGCGTCACGAGAAACCGCTGTAGTGCAAAATTATGTATCGATAGACTGCAGAGATCAATCGGCAAGTTATATAGATGCCTTCAGCAGAACATGGTGTTATCGACGGGCTTGGGTGTTCCCCCCACCAACCTTACTACCAAAAGTCCTAGCCCATCTCAACCAGGCCACGGGGATTTACCTGATTGTGGCACCAGAGTGGCCCCGGGCGTTCTGGCTTCAAGATCTGAAATCAAGAGCTTTGGACCATCCACTGGTGCTTCAGAATCTAGCAGAGAACATGATAGATTTCGCGACATTACAACCTCCCCCACAGGCTCAGACATTAACCCTGAAAGTTTGGAAAATTGGGGGTGGGGTGCACACATAAAGGAATGGTCGCTACAAGAAAAAGACCTTTTGAAGAAAAGCTGGAGACCCTCTACACTGTCCACATACATTCCAGCGCTTAAAAGATGGCTTTCATGGTGTTCTACGCGACAAGTAGACCCAAAATCTCCACGATCAGCTGATGTTGCAAAATTTTTAATGTATCTCTTCTTAAAAGAAAACTTATCCTACAGCACTATTCTTGTACATAAATCAGCAGTTTTAACCTTCTGTGGACCTCACGTAGAGCAACAACCTTTATCTAATTTCATTATAAAACATACCCTTAAAGCAATAGGAGTAGCTAAACCTAAAGTTACTAAACCATCGTCTACATGGGATCCACAAATAGTATTGGACTGGCTTTCAATTAACCCTCCTAAAGACAATTTATTTGATTTAGCTCGCAAAACGGCTACTGTTTTATTATTAGCTTCGGGACGAAGAGTCCATGATTTAACTTTACTTAAAATTTCAAATAATCATTTCTTTGATAATGGTGAAGAATTGTATTTAATACCAGATTTTGGTTCTAAAACTGATACACATAATTATCGTCAATCTGCATGGAAGTTTTCTAAACATCATGATAAAAACATATGCCCGGTCACTTTGATTAGACTTTTAAACGACAAAAATAAAACAAGACGGTTGGAAGTTGATGGCTTAAATTGTCTGTTTATTACTGTAAACAAAAATGTTAAAGCGGCGTCCCGCACTGTCATAGGAAACTGGATACGATCAGTGTTGAGAGATAGTGGGATTCAGGCACCCCCAGGAAGCTGTAGATCGGCTGTGGCTTCCCTGGGGTGGTCAGATAATCAACCAATAGATGAATTTTGTCACGGGGTAATTGGAAATCTTCTAATACATTTTTTAATCATTACTGTCGTGAGATAGCACTTCCAAAAAAAATCGTAATCCATTCTTTGGTACTTTTAAACCAGCCTAATCTAACGATTACAGAGTTAATTTTTCTTTAAATCATTTATTATTTACTTTAATTTATTGATAGTTGGTATAATTAAGTCTCATATTATATTGGATTGTAGGCTAGTGTTAAATTAATGAATAAATAGCTTATTTTCGTACTAAGTCTTACTTATTTACTGAATAATCAATCAAAATAGCGTTGTGTTACATGCACATACATTTCACCAGCAGATAACAAACACGTCTTCAAAGCAATGCTGTATGTTTTCCGGAGGCACATCAATATACCGGTTTTGCATAAAACAAAACCGATATTATGTGCCGAGAGGGAAAACATACAGCATTGCCGGAAGTTCTTCCTGGTGAAGACTATGACATTCGAAGTCTAACGCTCCGGCGCGTCTTGCTGGTGCAACCTAACGCCATCTAGTTACATTTAGGTGCAACCACGTGTTTACTAACGTCGATCATAGATGGAGCTGAAAGTATACGACTGCTTCTTCAAAGCAATGCTGTATGTTTTCCCTCTCGGCACATAATATCGGTTTTGTTTTAAGCAAAACCGGTATATTAGGTACACTGTTTTGAAAACACAACAAAATAATGCTTCAGTCCACTTAGGTACAGAGAAAGGAAAGGAAGAAACAATCAAAGTACCTACACAATTTACAAACCTGATGTAGCAATGCATAATTGAGTTCATAGAGTCCGTTAGCAGTAAACACTGGTTTCTGATGAAGACACTGGATCGAAAACTGCAACGCCTTGAAGAAAAGAAAGTGCACATTGTAAATGTCATCACACAGATGATAAAATAAAAAATATATTTGAGACTTGAAGTTACCTCTGTCGTTACCGCTTGCCCGAAATTGCAGTTTATGATATCATGCAGCAAAAACGAAGTGTTACTTGCCTGTAAATATATTATTAACTTATTTATTTAGTCAGGTAGGTACCGTGTACAAGATACGACATCTAAACATTTTACCTCGAACACTGCAAGCTCGGATACAAACACAATCAGTACGGTTACACCAACCGGATAGAAAATTTGCCAAGCTACGTAAATGACAAACACTACGTATCTGTCTACATCCCGAAACAAGCCAGCCGCTGTCGCTTCCATGAAGTAAAACATGTATATTACAATGTAGGCCAGGGACACAAACAGAGTAATCATACACATGGAGCCGAACAATCGGTTGGTAGCCTCAGTCACTTTATATAGCTTGCCATACATCTTCGCACAAGCCCTTATTTTGTCACAAATGTACTTCTCTTGGAGGCCCTCTACCTTTTGAGCATTAACCATCATATTCCCTCGAGCAAACAACTTATATTCCCAAGACTTGTGGCTTTTTATATCTCGAAGCACCTTGTTGATGTAACTAAACCTGCCTCTAATTACTCTGAGGAAGAAGAAGTAATGCGCTGCTACAATGGCGGCCAGGCTGTCCGAGTATATAACTTGGTACAACCTCTCCATTGGTATCGGCACGTCCAAATAACTCAATGCTCCCCAAATACTGGCCCACCGAAACAAGTACACAGTACACTGTAGTATCGACATCATAAGTGCAAGATGTGCATCTTTCTTGTAGTTTACGTTTTCGCCCAACACTTCCAGGCTCTTGTCGACCTCCACTACAATCTCCATGAAGCGGTTGTTGATGTTCAATCCAAATGGAATCTTCCACAAACCGAATATGACGAACAGCATTGAAGACAGTCTCTCGTAGTCATCACCGTACCGTTGCACTTTCGTATTGTATAAGATTCGTAGAATAGTTTGATCCTCCACGAAAGCTTTGTATGTACAATAAATGTACAGGCAATACCAAAATAAGTAACAAATAAATCCATAGAAGCTGAACTTCCTGACGACGGTGTGACTGGGGGTGCGGTTCAGAATAAATATTGATATTCCGATGGACTTCCTCATGAAGTTCGACGGTTCTAGAGCTTCAACGATATTGTTATACTTTCTCATCTTTACAGGTTTCTTAAAGTAATCGTCCAGAGGTTTTACTTTCATAACTATTTACGGAAAGAATTCTCTATCGACCGTCTGTCCGCTTTAGTGGAAGCTACGCGATGTGTGAAATTGAACAACAAAATTTAATCAACTTAAGAAAATTACGCTGTATTAAGGACTATAGTTAGGCGTAGCTAAATTGTGTTTACTTCAAATTTAATCATAACCCTATGTACCGAAGGGAATAATTTTAATGTGACATAATCACTTCCTGAAATTTGTTAAATGTGCTATTAGTAGGTACTGGTGGGTGGGTGTCAGCGTAATTTGATCAAAATATATGTAAACATTAGCCCACATACTTCAAACATCGCAATTTTACTGTAAACCAATAAATTAAATTACGTAAATGATAAACAAACAAACGGATTATCTGTTTTTCATTCGAATTAGATAATACCCTTATAATAAAAATATATAAAAATAAAATATACACAGCTTATAACATCATAATGTGGGAACTTATAGGTACAACTCCATTTTGTTTGCTAACAGAGGAAAAGGTTTTAAGTATAAATTACAACCTTACCACCGTAATAAAGTTAACTTAAAAACCTAACTGGTTATAAAGTTAGCAATTATTAGATAATCTTTTACAGATTATCTAATGATTACTAGTATTCGTCACCATAGCTATAAACTAGTCCTGTCCAGTACAAATGAAAAAAAAAACAGTATTATGTACATACATCACACCTGTCTCCCATGGGGGTAGGCAGAGACTATGTAACGCCCCTATACTTACCCCTATCATTATTGTGTGCTTTATAAATTTAGACAACTGATTCCCAACTAACCAAACCAAAAAAAATCAAATTGGCTCCTTTATAAACCATAAAGTTCATTTGAAGTCATTCCCAGTACTGTCAGTATGCAATCGATAGCATCAGTAGCCACAAAGCTTTTACAGGCTATCTATGGGGTAACCATACCTTAAATCGTGGCAGCACCATCATAATAACAACTGCGTTGCTGACCATGAAAATGAAGGTATTAGAATAAAACAAAACATTGGTATTCGCAGTATATCCACCGGATATTCAGTAATTTATTTCTCCTGAACGTTCACATTTACAGTGATAATCTACATATGAACATAGTAGGCATTATATTGTCATAAACAAGAAAGGAATATAGGCATATTATGTACACAGGAATATTAAGGTTGACAAAAATTATTTGTTGGAACTATTTATAAGCACTATACAATTTTAATTTTACATGATGAGAACTTACAAGCACATTGGTATACTACTATCATAGTACATAGCTTCGCTGCGTTAGCGACGTTAAACTATTTTATAGCTATATTTTGATAAATAGCTAACTAATAATGTACACAAAAAATAAATTGTGCTCTTCCATAATCCTTAGAACCAACTATATAATAGGGAATATTGAGAGCTTATATATCCTCCGTCCTTATCCTACATAACACCGTAGAACTTTGATAGCCATTTCATAAGAAGCATTCTAAAACAAATCTTCGTACCTAGCAACTAAAACATAACATAGATTGTGAAAAATACATATTACAACAATTTCACTGCATCAGTAACAATGTTAGGTATATGTTATTATTATGGCACAAATATAGTTTTCTTTTATTACGGTAACATTGATGTACAAATATACTTTATTTATTTGCGTCCCGTATTAATTGAAAGCTTAGTTTCTGGTACGATAAGTCTTTTTTGGTGTATTGTGCTAGCGTACGAGCGGTGTTCAAATATTTAGCTCAGTTTCATCATTAGAAAATATTAACTTTAGAAAGATATCGCAAAATGTTAGCATTATATCCTTATTAGTATGATTATGCCAATATTCCATAATACACACACAGATTTCATAAAGGAGAACATATCCAAACACTCGTACTTCAGAAAAGAATACCAATAAATTATAAACTTTGAATTTGAGATCAAGACAAAGAGGTTAGTAATATTACATAGTGAAAGGTACCACTCGCGGCCAGTATGCTTACTCATACAAAAAAAAATCTGAAAATATTGTAAAAAAAACCCAAAGTAACAAAATATAAAGCTGCCTCTCTCAACTCAGCCGTGATTCAATACTTATAATTCATTATTATACACCGACCACTCAAGGCAGTCCAAAATACTCTCTCTATAAGACCTTGGCCAGACCTGAATGCACACAACATCTAAAGTAATATCATTCATATAAAACACATTTACATACACAAGAGTCGCGTATTTCAGTACATCTGGACAAGGTCTGTATTGCCACACACTGACGCCGAATATTGCTGCCAACATTCTTATAGATTACAAAAATAATATCCTACGGAATTCACGCCAGCTATTATTAAAAAAGTATATACTTTATATTCATATATTTATTGCAACTTTGTACCTACTCCATACCATTTACCTAAAGACTGGCCTCACACGTTCGCCACATACAACTAGAAATAAAATAGTTGCCATACAGTTAATTTAAAATAGGAACGCGAAATTTAATTTTATGTAGCGAGATGTGAACGCAGTTGGAACAAGCCCCGCCCACTTAATTTGACTTCGATCGTTCGCGAAAATGATGTATAGTAACCAGAATGTATGGAGTTAGATATACACTGATGGTACAACATTTGATATACTTCTTATTTTTATTGTTTTAAAACGTTTAATTAAAATTTTCTCTTAGACAAACTGCATAAAGCTATAAGAATTAACTTTCTACGAACTGGGATTGGACTAACTATTCTTGCGTAGCAGAATATTAAACTTTTTGTAGGTTTTAATAAGTTTTATATTCAATTATCATTTTTTAAAACTACAGTCAATCTATTAAAATATCTAGGCATTATAAACATTAGGGACAAATGAAAGTAACGTATTGGATATTATAAAATCGCGATGATATACTCTTACAGCTTCGTTAATATTAAAAAGATGTATTCTTACCAATCGATTTTATAAATCGAAATGAGTATTTTGGGAACAAGACGATTCAATTTGATAACGCTAATTATGAATCAGAGATGCAGTCGATATAAAAAGTAATAAAATTATTGACGTAATCACAAACCGTACCATTAGGAAGCTCTTATAATACACTTCCTTTAAGCTTGTCTAATTTAAAGCTGCCCTTTAAATTCATCTATACTAAAATAGTAACTCTTTCAACATATTCTTTCGTTTGAGTAGGAAATTAACTCTATTTATTACCTAAGTGGAATAAAATAGCGTGTCTTCATTCGTAGGTAACAATTGTGTAAAGGCATTTCTTCATATAGGCAAGTAGAGTACAATTATGAGTAATATTTGAGACTGTACCAACTTATACTACATTAAACTTAGTAAAAATAAATGCGCATAGTGGTCTTAATTTGGTAAAGTAAGAATACACTCGAAACAATAATAAACTTAATGACGAAGGTAATGTTTTGTGATGATATCTATTCGCCTAATAATACCACTAAAATATTTCGTAATAAAGTATTAAAATTGATGTATTAATGGAACTCGTGACACTATGACATAATGCATGTAATAAATAACGTGTCTAAGCTTTCATGCGAAGTGCCTTTGAATCAGGTTTTTTTAAAACTATTCTATTCAATTAATTGAGATGTATTAGTTATTTCCCGAACCATGTGTTCACTACATACTTCTATCAATAATTTCATTTAATACATTTTAATTAGACGCCGTAATATATTTAGATTATTTTTATTATTGTAAAACGTTCCGAGTAAATATCACTTTGATTATATTTTTTCTTAATTTCGATTATATTGAGTAAAGCACAAGTTCTAAAATTGTCACTGTCCAGTCAGTAGGCAGCGTAGTTACCAACGTTCGTGTAGTGAGCACACAGTTCATAATAAAGGTGCTTCTTCCTAATTTCCAGAGCACCATAAAGTTTAGTAACACTTCAATATCGTTCCACAAACTTACAATATACGAAAGTAATCGTTCACCCAACTAAACTCCACCGACCCACACTAAACAATATTCGTAATTCGTAACTAATAAAAACAATCACGCAGCCGCACCAATAACAAACACATTGCAAATACATTTTCATAAAGCTCAATTCTAATATAATTAAAATCACATCTCATTAAATATCTTTGGATACAACCAAATAAAATTATTCATTTATAGCGTACAAAAATACAAAAAATATACAAGAATGTCAAATATACGTAATTAAGGGAAGATGGGGAGATAGTGTATGCACAGTTTCAACCACCGACAGAGGGACAGCGAGCACAGACTAGACACGTGTGACGAGGTACCGGCACTTCTACACCGTCTCACATACATCGGGCACTCACTACTCGCGCCCTAGAAGTCCGTCAGCCTCTCCGAGGCGACATTGTTGTTGCAGTAGCTGAGATTCATAGGTCACAGAAGATCTTGACGTGAGATGTGTCGAGGTTGGTGATGAGAGTCTTCAGGAACGTCATCTCCTTGCGCGCGTTCTCGAGTATGACGCGCGGGTCCTGCGACGTGCAGCGCAGGCAGTTCGGGGCAAAAACCATCGCCAGGTTGGCAGAGTCCATCTTGGTTTGACTTACCACCTCTGGAGCGGTGAATTGTTGCAGGAAGCTTATTAGATACGTCAGGACCTGTACAAACATTTTACAATAAGGTACCTGCGCGATGATATTGATCTACTCAAAGAATAAATACATGCAATCGCGTCTGACTTTTATATATAAATAGGCAACTGTATGTTTATTCTGTCAATGTTTATCGATGACATCGCCGGGCGGTATCGGAAAACTCTCTCTGTGTTTGGAAACGTGAAAATTTTTATCAATTTAAAAAGGAAATATAGTTACCAGTCTATTGATGGGCGGCAGACGATGCAGGGCGCGCGTGCAGGCGGCAAAGTCAGTCCCGGCCGCGACGCACGGCCCGTACAGCGCGTCCGGTATGAGCGGCTCGTACAGCTCGCGGTACCACAGCTTCAGCAAGCTCGCTGGGGCGTGCGCGTCTGGAGGGATAAACATTATTTTAAAGTTTGTGCTTTCTGTCTGTTACACGTATCATCTCGTTTAGTAACACGTATCAACTCGTTTAGTAAGTAGTGGCCTCCTCACTATATTCTGCTATATAAGGTATCCAGTCACAATGACACTGACTATCTGTCATACGTTGGTGTGTTATACACGTCGTGTGCTCTATACGTAATGTAATTAAAATAGACCCAAGTAAACCCAATCCGAGTCTAAATCATTAATCCACCAATATAACACTGTCCATTTGCCTTATTACGTATCTAAAAAGAACACCACAAAAAGGCTAAATTAGAGTGTATACATAGAGCTATAATTTATATAGGTGATGGTAATGATTTAGCTAGGTACTATATTTCCCCGATAGCGTCGGACGATCGGTGAATTATTGTGTATAAACACAAACATAGCAGAGAGTAACCATTATTTTATAACATACACACTGTTCAAAGATTCCATTGCACAATATACAAACAAATAATTTATTTTCTTTGTAAATAAAGTATAAGTAAGTTTTAAAATAAAACACCTACCAGTCAAAGTGGAAGCATCAGGTAGTTCCCAGTTGTCTATCTTGGCTTTCAGAGCATTGACTTCATCAACATCAGCGGAGACTCGGAAGATGCCCTCAGTCTCCCTACCGTTGAGGGCCAGGACCTGCTGAGACAGTGCTACTTGCACCCAGGGTAGTTGTCTGTTGGGGAACCTTTCTTTCTGCAGCGCCATCACCTCAGATAACGTGTTGCCAAACATAGACTGTCTGAAGATTTGTATCTGTGGAATATATTTATTGTGGTGAGTGCCTTTCTATGCCATTGAACTTGGAAATTAAAGAAGTTGGTTAAAACCTTTGTAGCAGTTAAAATATGAACATTATATTCTATCTCATTTTACTTAAAACTAGTTTTACACTTGTGTTGCTTTAAGAGATGCTTTTATCTTTTGTGTAAATTATTATTTAAAGAATCCAATGAATTTTTGCTTCTCTCTCTTGGTGTCTTCCCGATCGGCACTTTAACCCTTTTTACCCACTTTACTATGAATTATAATGAAGTAATGATGTACCACTCACCCTAGCTTGATCAATATCATCGGTGGTAGGTTTCCTGGGCTGTCTCTTCCCTCCGAAGCCGATCCTCTCAAGCCTTTTGCACGCCACACCCGCGTAGTGAGAGACTTGCACGTGAATAGGCCATTTGCCCACCTGTAATATAACATATTTAAACATTTATTAGGTAACCATACAATACGAATCACAATTAACCATTGAAGACAAATTAGAATAGAATCGAAGAGATGAAGTGCAACGCAACAATGTGTATGTACAAGTTCTTTCTCAAAATTATAATTTGTTCAAAACCGAATTAGATTTGATGGTGAAAAAGTTGAATGGTTATTGGGAATCACGAGATACTACAAGCTTACAAAATATTTTCATATAATAATTATTGCAAGACACTGATTTAAACTTGCACAAAATGATATTATTATTACCTCAGGGAAGGCATCAGCGAAGGCGGGGTCTCTGTGCCTGTTGACGTAGTTGGTGAGCGCGGGCTGGAAGGCGGAGGAGGGCGGCACGAAGGCGAGGCACACGGCCAGCAGCTCCCAGCCGCGCAGCAGCGAGTCGCGCAGCGGGTTCTCCGTCGTCTGCCGGCACAGCTGCACGTACAGCTCGTCGCGGAGCCTGCCATGCGGATAAATAGACACTATAAATAGACAGTTCACAAAGGGGCTAGACAAACGGCGTATGGGCAATGTGTTGCGGATTAAATACCCTACTGATGGCAAGTGTGAGAGAGTCATGCTTCAGCACGAATTGACCGTCTCGACCAGAGTGATACCACTGCCTCACAAAAAACCGACGTAAAGCAACGCTTGCGTTATGTGTCGTCGTGCGAGTGAGGTTGCCGCCCAATTACCCCTCCCCTTCCCCAATCCCTAAATCCCCAACAATCTCCAAACTCCTAATCCCCGTAATGCCGGTAACGCAATTGTAACGTCGCTAGTGTTCCAGACGTCTATGGGCGACGCCGATTGCTTACCATCAAGTGATCCGTCTGCTCATTTACCGGCTTACGCTTATTATATTAACTTTAAAAAATGTATACGCATCATCGTCAATAGTTCTTGACAGTCCACAACTAGACTATGGACCTCTTCTATATAAGAAGAGCGACATTTTCAAGCTTGGTGGCTGTAGTTGAAAAGATTTAGATTTATTTATTAGTGTGGTAGCACATACTTTGTTAATATGTTCTACTTGTATGTCTAGATCGAGATAAAATGCCTTTACTCATCAAAATAATACCTCCGGAACAAAATTATACTTACTTCTCATTAGAGAAAGTAGCATGCAGGATATCTTGTGCGACAGAGTTGAGTGTCATCCCAGGCCTCGCCTTGCGGTCTCCCATGTAGATCTGTACCAGTCGGAACAGGTCGATGGCTGCCTTCTTATGCGCTTTGTCCCAATCTGCACCCACCATCGGCGCACTGATCGATGATGATGTCCAAGATAACAGGTCGCGTACTGATGCCTGGAGACAAAGAAACTTTGAAATTAGTAACTAATTTAATGAAAGGTTCCAAGTTTGCTAGATGATAAAGTTTTATCGGTAATATGCTTTGATATGGCAGGATCTTATTCGTTATTGCAACACTTAAATAAAGAGGGCAAATGTCTGCATTTTTTCTACCGAAAATTAATACGTACCTTTCTCCGGAAGATCCCCTTGTTGAAGTTGAGGTTATCCTTGGCAAAGATCTCGATATCTTGTTCTAGTGGTGGGCGCGGTGCATGTGATCGTACCGGACTGTACAGTGCCCCCGCCCCGTCCACCTCCGCGCCCCCCGCGCCTCCAGCCGCGCCCCCGCCACCGCCACCGCCCAGAGATGATGTCTGCAAAAAAGTAAAAATAACATACATATATTAATCGTTTGCCTTTGACCCTAATCTTCGATCATAATTAATTATAAGGTATTTAAAAAAGGAACATCACTAATTGAATACTGTAAATCAAAGACCAACTCACTCTATGAATCCCAGGCGAAGGCTGTCGATCCCGGTCGAATCCAACAAAGGTATTATAATAGGATACTCCATGGTTCATATACTCCACGTCAACAGGCCTATGTGCGTACGAATGAGGTAAATAAACTCCGGAACCGTCGTCATCGTCCGGAGTTCGAGCACCACCGTCTGACGACTCGTTGTCTGGTTCGTGGCCGGACAGTGAACGGGACTCCGAACCGGACCGAGAGTGAGATCTCGATGAACCAGACTCGCCGTCTGAGCCAGAACCACCGCCGTAACGAGTGCGACCTGTTTATAGTAAAAAGAATAATAATAATACTTTAAAACGCTGCAAAAGTGGAATCACTTATTTCGTGACGTCGTTTTATGTAGTAAGAAATGAATAAAGATGTTTCATTTCCTCGTAGTCAAGCCAAAAGATTAAGAACTAGATTTTTATGACAAAATAGTTTAATTTTTTTAATCTTTCTCTTCATATTTCATCTATCTATAACAAGAACTTTTCACGAAAAGTTTCGACATCTGTCTGTATATTTGTTTACTAGACTGCTTAAGCTCGTAAGTAAATCTGCAGGTGCGTATGAAACTGGTCCTTAAAGATATATTACTCACTGGACAATTTCGCCTGCTGTATGATATAGTCTTGCAGTGGCAGTAAGTGTTGCATTCCACGTAAATCCCAGTTACAGTATAATGGCGAGCTGCCTCCTTCATCCTCTTCCTCCTCTCCATCTACGGGACCGTCCTCTACTTCCACAGGCCTCTTGTGTCCTGTAAATAAAGTTTATATTTGGTTAGAATTAATTTAAGGTCATACTCAGGCTTGAATTTAAAAAAAGATGAATTGCTAGTATGGCTCAGAGGAACCAGTCTGATCTTTATTTAACGTTTTAGATTAAAATCACTCAGGTGTATCCTGATAATAGTTACGTTTATTTTGGGATAACCCCTATTAAAATAAAATAATAATTGATATTAAAATTAAAAGTATACTCACGTCTTGATTTAGTACGATCTCGGGGCGCAGTAGACCTCTCTAATCTCTGATTATGTTTCTGTACATTTGGCTCTGTCAGTGGTGGCTCCACTAAGTTCACGCATTTCAATTTGTAGTTCACTAAATGAAACGAATAAATTATAAACTTTAATATGGTGCAACAAAAATCAATTTCTATTTAAATTCATTACTATCACATTACATTTTACCATTGAAAAATCAACTAACTGACAAAATAATAAAGTATACTTTAGCATGCATACCAGCTGCAATATTGTCCTGTTCGTTAGCAGAAGAGAGCCTCATGAAGTTATGATGTGGTTCATGTGGAGGCGTCCTATGTTTGCTACTGCCGGATGACACAGATGTCTTGCTTGATGTGTAGCGTTCAGGCTCCGCTTGTTGACGTCTGGTAAACCAGGACAAATGTTTAATTTAAACATAGAGAGTCAGTGCAACGTTAAAAAACCGTTTTAAAAAAAGACGGGGTGCATTATACTAATACCTTCTCCTAAGTGTAACAAACACTTTTCTGAAAACCGCATCAAAATCTGTTCAGCCAATCGCAAGTCAATCGCGCACAAACATACACACATACATACATACAGGTCAAAGAGAACCTTATTTTTATTAAACATGTAGTCCCACGGTGGGCGCCAACACTAACCGACACTCATTGTATTTTTTTTCTTTTATCACTGTTATATATGGAATGAGTTTAAATTGTCTTGTCAATGTCTTAGTAAAACTTTTACATATTATAGTCGATCGAGCATAATCAGTGCAATAATTTTAAATCAATGTATGTATATCTTTTACCTAGTAAAGTCCCTCGCTGGGTGCCAATTAGCTGAAGCATTATGACGTAGATCTAGGCTGGTCTGTCTGAATGGCTTGTCTACGCTGTACACGGCTTGCTTCTCCGGGTACCTGTCCATGCGCTCCAGTTCCGCTAACCTATCCTTGTCTAAATGCCTGAAATAAATAACTTATTATATACTTATTATAACAAACACTTAAAGGTCGACTAAATTCATTGACATTGTACCAAAAGTTTTACTTCCTAGAATTAGTATCTAAATCTAATTCATGGTTTAAATAGTAGTTGACTGCCTCGTTGGCCGAGTGGTTGCAAGTGCGACTGCAGGGCAAGGGGTCTCGGGTTCGATTCCCGGGTCGAGCAAAGTATTACTGGGTTTTTAAAAAAAAATCTCAGTAGTAGCACGGAGTCTGGAATTGTGCCCGGTATATGGCAATAGGCTCACCCCCTATTACATGGGACTCATAACATAAATAGTGAAAAGTGGGTGTTACATTGTACAGTGGCATAATTTGCACATCTGCCTAACCCTTCGGGGATAAAAGGCGTGATGTTATTATGATGATGATGATGATGATAAAGTTTAAATAGGTGCCCCATTTTTCCCTACCCACAAGAGACTGATTTGATATGTGATTATCATTATGACAAAGTAGGTTTCACTCGAAACACGTCCATTGCTGAACAAATCTGCTTAACTAGTGTTTTGTACTATGTACTTACCTATCGGAGAACCGTTCCCTTGCATGCCTGGACAGTTGGTGCGGTCTCTCCAGGCTGTGCATGACTCGAGACCCGACGCCAGCCGCCGCGTCCGTCGCCAGGGATATAGAGGACACCAGCGATGGTCGAGCTGCTGTCGTCTGGTAAATATAATTTTATAATTAATTTTAACGTTCATCAAACCTTGAATCTGATCATTATAAGAAAAACATATTGATTTATATATAATTTTAGGAATTGGCTAGTTTCCTAGGTTTAAAATAAATTGTTTCAACTTTTCAATGCAATAAATAATAAAAAAAAATCATACTCTCATCAATTGATTTGACAATTTACCTACTTTTGGAATTTTTTCTCGCTAATTTTAAGGAAATAAGTATGCTATTTGAGTATCGTTTTTGACATTTCAATAAAAGTATTGAATTTGACTACCAGTCAACTACCGTATTATTCTGGATCAAATTGAAAAATAAATATATTGTATTCGTTAGTTCTTTTATCGAGGAAGCATAAGCCATAAAACGTTCCAGGAGCTCCTCAAAGAGCCTTCAGACCACCACACATGGAGCCTGGGCATCATCAGTGACCAACCACGTTAGAGTACCTAATGTTTATGTACAGTAAAAACTTTGCTATAAGTTTCCTATTTTGTAAGTGTGTTAATAATACCACATACCGTTGATATATTTACATAGTAACTATAATTTTCCATAATTTTTTAAAATGCATTTACAATAAAACCTAATGAATCTAAAGTAGTAACATTTCGAACACAATACAAGTGAATTCTCCATGTCAAATGTTCAATGGGCGCGTGTCAAGGTTGGCAGCCAGAACGGACAGAACCTTACATCAAATTAGGTCGCGGTCGTTACGCTAATAAATAGCGCTCAAATAACTTTATACTACACAAGTCATTTGCACCAAAACTTTTTTTACTTCAAATCTCTTAAAATGAGGAGGATGAGAGGAGATAAATGGAGGCCCAATTACCCTCCCCTTCCCCAATCTCCCCAATCCCTGAATCCCCAACGATCCTCAAACTCCTAATCCCCAAAAGGCCGGTAACGCACTTGTAACGCCTCTGGTGTTCCGAGTGTCCATGGGCGACGCCGATTGCTTACCATTAGGTGATCTGTCTGCTCGTTTACCGGCTTATGCCATAAAAAATGTAGTTCATTTTAACGGTTGTTCAAGGTCAAACGCCATTGCCAAGACTCGGAATCTCAAGTTGTTGGTATTAATAGATGCTATGACACAATTAAAACACTGGACGGACTATTATTGAGTGGGAAAGTAGGACACTCAAGTTCTGATGTGGTTTCGAAACGATTTAATAGTGTGGTCGTGTTAAGCTTGACAAAAGAAATAAATAATAGGAACACATATTTTAAAAATACAGTATTAAAGTCGATTTACACGTTACAAGCTTGCTAGCTTATCTAAAAAAAGGATTTAAAGCACTAATTTATACAATACCAGCGATTTGATAAACCGCTTTAAGATTTAATAGTTTCTTAAGAATATTCATTCAGATCAGATGAAAGTAAAGACAAAGCTCCGTTCCAAAGTTTTGTCATACTATTAAAAATAAACCGTGCTCATATTATAGCCATTTTTTATTTCAAAATAGTGTTGGCCAATCTAAAGTGTAAAGAAAAGGTTTAATAAGATTGTTACAAACCTGTAAAAACGGCGTAGGTTGTGGTTTCTGTAGGGGACTGCTCGGACTCTGTGGCGACGCCGAGTCACAGGACGATCCTCCAGCTGATTGCTGTTTTAACTGGAACCATTAGTATCGATCTATACGATCTATGCTACTGCTAAAGTGCTACTGCTAATAATGTACTTTCTCTTTTAAAAAATGTTCTATTGTTTATTAAAGTGGTTGCATATAAGTTGTGCTGTTTTATCTTCCTGATAAATATACCCTTGCGAGAATAAACAATGTGCTGGTGAAAGTACTGTGTGTTTTGAAAAGCTTTTTCTTATTACTGCAATAAGGCCATGTACAACATCTGGTTAAGCTAGTAGTCCGGGTAGTCTAGTTGGCCTTTACGTACTGATTAGTGACCAAGTGAAACTGTTATGTGAGGATTACAATCATTATTTTTAGCCTTCAATTGAGTGTTTGGCTTAATCAAAAATAAATTAATTCGACTATTCAATAAAATAAAAACACTTTCATCAATTGATTTCATGACCAACTTAATTTTAGTATTTTTCCAGCAAATTTTTAAGAAATAATTATGCTGTTTGACGCTTAAAAACGTGACGTCACAATACACAATCTCGTACAAAGTTCATAGAAAACAGTCGTTTTTGACAGTTCGAAAAAAAATATTGAATTTGACTAATTGGCAAGTACCCATTTGCAAGTGTCGAGGCATAAACTAAAGTGTGCAGGAAGTGCTAGATATCGGACTCTACAAAGCAATTGCGTTCAGCACAAGCTTTATTATAATTATTTACCTTTCTCCTAGTCAGTGGGGTGCTCTCAACAGATTTGAAATATTTTTCGTGCATAGAATCATCGGATGCATCTTTCCTAGGTGATATAAAGCTGCCGCTGCGATTGAGACCTGTCAGGAGAATATAATTTTGTTTTAAAGAACAGTATTACACTCCCATACCTATCATCAACACAATCGTTACTTTCAATACTGTAAAATGACTTGGTGTTTCAAGGTGTGTCCTCCAAGTCAAGAACACTTGGGAAAAATGTATGTTTATTATTTTTAAATGTTATTTCATGGTTTATGCTTTTTTATATTGAGAAAATATTTAATAGCAATGTTTACCTGCATGTGGAGACCATTTCTCAGATTCGTGTGCCTGTGCGGCACTGCTACGTTTCCTAAGTTGCGGAGTACATACAGGCGGATTACATACAGCTGCACTAAGTTCCTGAAACAATACGATTAGTTCAATAGAGCTGTTGTATACTGTTCGACCATTCCGAACGAAGGGAAATCAGAGGCAAGTGCTAGTGTAAAAAATACGAAATTATGAAACAAACGAGATGCATAGTAAACCTATTAGGTACTCGCTATACAATACGAACAGTTACGGCCATATAAATAGTAGATACTTAAGAAGTTTCTAGGTTTTACAGTAAAAATTGCCAGTAAAGTAATGAAACTAACCGTATTTGTCAACTGCGTTTTCCTCCATCACGTCAATGAAAAAAGTATCTATACCTTTTCCCAATTCTCGAAAATTGCTCATATGTGTTTATACATATAAATATTGTAATATTTACATACCTGTTTCCTCCTCTGCTGTGCGCTGCTGATGCTGCTGTCGGAAGACCGGCCGGAATCCGTATGTCGACATAGCTGGGTGGAGCCATCCTCGCTTAACCTCCCGCGTCTACTATCACCGCTGTTCCTGGTTTATAACAATTTATAATTTAATGATTTTGTTTGTAAAATCCTTTTCTTCTTTATCCCAAGTTACATCGGGTCGGGGCAATATTAATTCCCCTTCTACCATCCTCTCCCATAAGACATTGTTCCTTCATAACAGAGTACAGACTCTATAGAGCATTTTCAAGTTTGACGACAACTTTTTACTTAAGTCTGTAAGTACACTTCAGTCGGTCTGTAGTTGCAAATACGCCTGATAAATACTTCTAGAAAGTAGCTAATTTTTTGTTACGCAAACCTTAAATATGTAAAGTCTGCAACCGTGTAATAGACCATTACAATATTTACAATAAGCAATAATATGTAACCACTGGAAACAAAACAATCACTCTTCATACAAACTACACCAACTAAACGTAGATTCAAACAATGCGCCATAAATTACTCTCCAAAACGAGAATTGTGTAATCGCTCCATTCACATATATCATCCTAATTAACATTATAGTAGCGATATCAAAACAATGAGTACTCATAGTACTCGTACTGTAACACTACAGTTGTATTTGTATCGCAATACAGTGCAAATTAACTGTTAACGGATTGGACGTGAATATTCTCACATACTTATCGATAGTATCATATTCATCATCGTTTATTTGGTTAGCGACATCGCTAAGTAGTGTTAGACACAGATTTGTGTCAAATATAACAACAAGCATATAACAATCAATTAAGAATAAATATTTACTGCTAAGTTCCCAATAAATGTTTTTTCCAAGTATTACAAGACTTCATTATGCACTAGCGACCCCGGCTTCGCCCGGGTGCAATATTCATGTATTATTATACATATAAACCTTATCACTTTATCTATTAAAAAAGACCACATCAAAATACGTTATGTATTTTTAAAGATCTAAGCATACACAAGGACCGACAGACGGTGGATAGCGACTTTGTTTTATACTATGTAGTGATTATCACTCAATACAACTCCAGATTATTTAAAACGATGGAATCAGATCTCAATCACTTTCAGCTAGGCTCAAAACCTTTGCCTCATGCTCAGTAGTTTCACTTGTGACTAGCAGAAGTTAGGAATGTGTAGCTATCACTGTTTTTGCCATACTTGTACAAACAAACACAAATGACACAACATAAAAATATTTGATATGAGAATTCACACATACTTAATACAATGGCGAAACAAACATAATTGTTTCTCACCTGTGATGGTAATGAGACCTCCTCGTTCGCACGGGGCTGGTTTGTGTAAGAGTGACAGTTTTTGCGTTGCCAGGCGATAGTTTGCTGACACTCGCGACTGTGCTATTGCCATTGCTGCTAACTGGGTCTAGTATCGGAGGCACCTAAACATGAGAAAGTTTATGTTGGTGTTCAGTCTGTTTGATTATGTAGTATAGGTTCTAGAAATTTTATAAATTACAAAACAAAAACGGTCACAACAGCATATGTTTACGATAATCTCAAAAACTACAAAGCGCAATATCATAATATGGTTTTCAGCGATTTGAGGAAAGTTGTAATAATTATTTTATTAATGGGAACACAGTATGCCATTCATGTTTCCGTCTACCTCAACACAGTTTACAGGGAATAGGATAACATGAAATGTGTCATGAATGGTTTGCCTCTTGTATTTCCCACACTCATTCATGTTTTCATACACACCATTTACGTATGAGTATTCAAAGTCAAAGCATTTATTTCAATTAAACCATAATTCGGTACTTTTTAAATGTCAACAAATACAAAATAAATAATAGTCTGTCAGTCAGTCTGTCAGTTAAGCTAGGTGAAGCTAGGTACTCATTCGAATGGATATTAACTATGAATACCCTCAAATTGGCTGATCATCATTGGCATAACATGTGTACTCTCTTACAATAAAAAGGAAGGCACAATTGCAGATAATATATTTAAGTAAATTATAACAAAATAAAAATTATTCTTAACAATAAAGAACAAGTGTGAACATGTATGTTATAAAGAAACTCCTTTTTATATCAATGACTGTTCATTTCAGAATAAACACAACATAATCATTGTTTTAACCACCACCACCTACTACAGTATGTCAAGTTGATAAAAAGTTTCCATAACAGCCACAAATTAATTAATTAATTAATTGTTTTTCTTTAATTAATTACTTATGTTGTAATTGATAATGAATTTTAACCATTATATTAATTATTGTAGGTAATTGAAATAAACTAAACAATTATGGTAGCTTGATCTCTGTAAAAGTAGTAGCAGGATTGTTTAATAATAGCAATAATATCGTCTAAAAAGTCATCCCTTAATGATAGTTAATATTTTAGCATCCATTCTCATTAAACAGACAAATAGTAAACAACAATTTCTAATCAATTAAAACAAAAATATTACAAACAATGTCCAAAAATACCAATAAATTACAAAACAGAAACAAATAAATTACTTAAGATCATCAAGAAGAATTATGACTTGACTTGAAGTCATAAAGCTTAATTCTCAAGCATAGCATTCCTAGTGTTGCTATGTTAAACCAAAATAGATTCGACCTCAATTCCATGAGTATGCCACAAAAAATCAATTACTGCACCTCAATATAGATGTATTACTTTAACATCCTCTGGTTTACAGGCTATGTGCATAAAACATATTGAGGTTAATCACTTTTTTAGAGACGGTATCATGACCAATGGGAATGAACATTACACTCTATTGGTAGACATTTCACAGATAAGACAAGAAACTCGAATTGAATGGCAACTACTTAGTTGTTAGATTATATTCCCTATTTTGTTATGAAAGGTTTTGTGTTTGTTACTGATTACTATGCCCTGAATATTATGATAATATGGATGTTGGTTCATGATTTAACTCGTTGAGTACCGTATTTATAGACACAATTAAAGAACAATAGGTTGCGGTCACCGGTGACCGCTTGGTGTTTGACAGTTTAAATATAGAACCAGTTTGGCACAGAAATTGGGATCAATTTTAGCAAAGAGTTTTTATGACTTACCTGAGGTGCTGGCTGGTTAGTTTGTGTACCACTCTCCCTTCTTTTTTGAGGGTCTGTATTTTGTTTTAGTGTTTGTAATTTGGCTAGTGGTATGATGTCACAGTCAGTAGGCCTATGCCACACAGTTGTCTAAAAACAATAAAACATAATATAAGGCTTTGTATAATTGTATTGCTGTGTTGGTTTTCATTCCTATTATGTCATTGTAATTACCTGTGTTGAAGCATTGTAATAGTAAAACCTATGTGTGTTGATATCAAAAAGTTCCCACCATTGTGAAGAGTCTGTACGTTTGACTTTTACACCCTATAACAAAAGAAATATCACATAAAGCATTTGTAAACATTAAATATGATTTATTTATTATATGATTGTTTAACTTTGAGCTGGTTCCATACTATTGACCAATTAGTAGGAATTTACATGCATAAATTGGTTTATTGTAAGTATATGTGTCTATGTTAAGCCATAGCAAGATATTGTAATTGAACATTAATAACATTAATAACTTTGATCAATGTCAGAATGCAGTTATTGCATAAATACTGCATTACTTGCAGAATCTACTTGTCCAACCTTTAGGAAATGAACACATTTTAACTAATAGTAGTATCAGAATTGGACTAACATCACAGTGAGTCATAGAAACTGGAATACCCCTCATTCTTACAAAATAAAATTAGTCAATTATTTAATTGACTAGTAATTTAGGTGTCCTACAACTGCCATGGGCATATATTCTAAAAACTCATAAGTTAAACTAGTAAACCACCAGAAGGTACTCGCCGGAAAAAATTAACCGGCACATATGTACGGAAGTGAATGAAAATTAGGATAAAGTTTACCTCAGGTGGATCCCAGACGCATTCACCAGTTGTTAGGTTAGCATACATATGCTCCTTTGTCTTCGGCTCGATAATCTCCACCCATTCCACCCTAGAATAAAACATCACGAAAGTCTTAACTTTACTGCCACTATCCTACCACACACCAACAATTTGACTACCAATTCAGGGCGTGACATTAGCGATTTCCGCGTACTTTATTGATTTTGCAACTTTCAACTACGGATATCGGAAGCAATTTGTCAACAATATAAGTATTGTATAAAAGTAACTTATTACCTTTCCGACGACATTTTCACTAAATAACAATAACTTTTCTAAACTTCACTTACACATCCTAAACGATAATTTGACCTAAAATACGGATGAGAATAATCGGAAACCATCCATGTTGAATGTTTACTTCATTGATGGGTGCGTTTGTAGTAGGGCCACAAACGTCACTTTTATTCATACACGAATATCTTCCGTGTAACGGAAAACATTTAGTACAGAGTAAAATAGTACAATTATTTATTAATGAAATCAATGTTTTTTCGTTGTCTTATTTTAAAGGATGAAAGTTTTGAATATTTTTTTAATTTGGCATATAGTAAATCGAAATCAACCACAAATATCTTGCCCCCTGTCCCCTACAAATAGCCAAGAAGGAAAAAATAAGGCGAAGCTAGCTCACAATAACCGTTGTTTCCTGAAAGAGCGTGGAACTTTAATTTAAATTTATCTAAAATTATAAATATTGCTGCCTGCCATCGATTTATATTTTCAAACCTCAAACTAGCATTCTATATGTTTAACATATTTAGCAAGTATTTTAACTTAAAATAAATCCCTTTTAAGCCAAACTTTCAGTGTTACCTGTATGTGTAGTAAATGTAGTCCTAGCTTTATATTAATGATGACGTATCACAATCTTGAATTCTTTTTGACAGAATGTGAGTATTTGCAAGGATAGTTTCCATTATTTGTTGAATACAATCTGATGTGAAAAGTTGGAAAAACAACTTTTAATGACGAGTTCATCTTTTTTATATCTATGTAAATTTATTATACATTAGTCTTTTTATGTATTAATTTGATCAATATTACAGAAATTTGTAGTCTTTTAAATTGAAATGTCAGATTTTAGAATAATAATTTATTCATAGCTATCTCTTAAATACAACAATCGGAAACATCGATCTCATTGATAAAATTTTCCAAAAGATTTTGTGTTTTGTATAAAATACTAAAACTAAATAAATACCAGTAAGTAACTGCATAGACATTATTAAATATAATCTTTGTTTCCAGTTATTTTATGTTTGTAATCAATGTTGCGGACTCTGACTATTAACCTTTTTATAAAATGCCGGCGCCCTAAGATTGCTGATTCATTTATTAGTAAACAGTGCCGAGGCACGTCTACTTCATTTGATATTGGTCCTCAAACAGTCCAGCCACCTAAAATAGTTAAGGGTCAGTAACTATATACTAAGCAATACGTTTTCATTTGTAGCAATATTCTTCATGAGGTTGTTGAGTATATTGAATATCATTTTTTATATTTTAGCAATGGCTGATGATAAATCCCACTTCCTGTTGCCCAACAACCAAAGATTTGTGGAGCTGGACAGTTCTCAAGCATTTAATAAATTAACAGACAATGAAAAACTGTATGCACACTACTTGAGTCAGGTAAGTGATTCTATATTTAAAATATTTTTCCTTATTATTTATTGCTACTTTTATGGTATACCTTATTGTTTTATTAATTTATTAAGTTGTGCAATTTTCCTATTAATAGGAACTGTATATCTTTAACTCAAAAATTTACTGAAGGGATCAGTATAAAACAGATTACTGTTGGGTATACCTAAGATCAGTACCAAATGATACAAAAGCCACTAGTAGAAGTCCGTCAAACATAACTTTAATTAGATAAATTATATATTAATATTTAGAATGTATAGGTGTTTTTTATTTTAATATTATGACGAGTAAGTTTTTAGGAAAATAATACACAATGTAGAATGGGTTTCAATTTTATGTGGATAAACATAATTATGAATTATTTGGTATTGTATGCATTTGTTGAACATGTAACTTATATTAATTTTTAAACAAAAATAATGGTTTTTTTTACTGATAGGTTTTAGTGTAGATTTCATTTTTTTTTATAATCTGTATTTTAGGAATGGAATGATACATAATTCTAAAACAACATATATGTGTTATGTGATTACCTAAGATATTTTGCATTTTCTAAATTTCAATACAATGTTTGTTTTTAAATACCTAATATTAAATGACTTTTTAAAATTTTAGGCAGCATGGAATGGCGGTCTTATTGTTCTTATGCAGACAAGCCCGGAGTCTCCGAAGATCTTTTCTTTGTTGCACAGGATTTTCTCCATGGAATCAGTACAGTCACTTAGGGAAGCAGCCAATGAACAGGGTGTTAACAATGATGATTTTCAAGTAAGTTTAGTAATAAAAAAGTTTCATGTTTAAAAAAATGTATAAAATATCTTGCACTTATCCTTATTGCATCTTCAAAAGGTTGAATTTAGCTAAAATAATTTTTATTCATATTGTTGCCTGTCATTCAACTTCCGTCCATCACTACAATATATACATTGTACCTATTAGTTCAAATTAGAAAAATAGAACAGATAATGTAACCACATCCTCTATGAAAAAAAATCAGTGTACTATTTACTATTTTGCGGTTGACAAACATCCTCTTGTTATTGATTATAATATTGTGGTTTGCAGGCATTTTTAGTGTATGCTGGTGGTATTTTTGCCAACAGCGGTAACTACAAGGGTTTTGGTGATACCAAGTTCATTCCGAATTTATCTCCCACCTCTTTTGAGCTGATTGTAAGGGGTTCGAAAGCCTTCGACGATGATACCCAACATATGATGAAGCTTTGGCAACAATGCGAGAACTTTATTTATAGCATTGCCCCGAGACTCACTCGTCTCGGTTTGGCTGATAAGGTGAGTTGATAATGTCTTCGTTGATGCGAATTTTATTGCTATTTGCACTTGCATTTTATCTCGAAACTACAAACAATTGTTATTAAGTTGTTGTATCAAAGTATCTTTAATTATATTTATTATGTACTTCAACTGATCTTTGTTATCAGTAAATGACGATATTTATTCATGTTTGGATTGTTTTTGTAACACTTAACCCATAGACACTATGCACACCTTTTGTGGAGTAATAAATATATGATATTTTTAGGGTGTAACCACCTACTTCTCCTGTAACTGCACTGAAGAAGATTCCAACTTAGTCAATGATTGGATGAAAACTAAACGCATTGAAGCATACATTTGTCGTACATTCAAGACTAAGGCGGAAGATGGCTGTAAGTGTTATTTTATGTCTTTAAATAGAAATTAAGTTAGTCCACTCACATTTGATACTTTGTGTAACACACATGTTACAAAATCAAATAAACTATTTCACTATATTCTTTATAATTCGATGTCTGATTATTCCCCACAAATAGATATAGGTAGGTAATGCAAGGCCATTAATGTTTACCTATTTTCAACAGTACCCCTATACACAATCCGATTGGCTAGTGTGGAAACTTCACCAAAACCATCTCTAACGATGGCTCCTGAGAAGTACAAAGGTGCCTACTTCCAAGTAACTCGTGGTGACTACTCTCCACTCCTGAAGCTTGTGAACGAGAACCTGATTAAGGCTAAGGAGTATGCTGCCAATGACAATGAGAGGAACATGCTGGAACATTATGTCAATAGCTTCAGAGAAGGGGATCTGAGCGAGCATAAGGAGGGCAGCCGATACTGGATCAAGGATAAGGGACCAATTATTGAAACGTAAGTTATTTGCTATGCTATGTGTTTTTAAAAAACCATAATCATCTTTGTGTTAACGGTATAATTGCAAGTCATATAGTCGGCTTTAAAACAACTGAAAATAACAGATATTTATCACATCTCGATTCCGGTTTACTTCTCGTGCCAAAAATAATGCAATGTCAGCATGACTATACAAAAGCTTTTTAATTCAAAATTATCTTTCATTGTTCTAGATATCAAGGGTTTATTGAAACATACCGTGACCCTAGCGGTCAGCGCGGTGAGTTCGAAGGTTTCGTCGCCATGGTGAACAAGGAAATGTCCAAGAAGTTCGGAGATCTCGTGGACGGAGCCGAGCGGTTCATCAAGTTCCTCCCTTGGGGCGAAGATCTTGAGAAAGACCACTTCCTAAGACCTGATTTCACCAGTTTAGATGTTCTTACTTTCTCTGGAAGTGGAATCCCTGCTGGAATTAACATTCCTAATTGTATGTATTAGTTCAATGGGTTTTTTGTTACCTTAGTTTACTAAATATAAATTTGCTTTTTCTTTTCTTTTTAACTTTCTTTTTTGTTGAAATATTACCTAAGTATCTAATGTGTAATTCTATTACAGACGATGAGATTCGCCAAAACGAAGGCTTCAAGAACGTGTCCCTTGGCAACGTGATCCCGGCTGCGTACAAGGAATCCGTCATTCCTTTCCTCTCAGAAAAAGACAAGGAATTATTGGAGAAATACAGGGTTGCATCATTTGAAGTGAGCACTGCTAATTTAATACCTTACTGGCTTAAAAATAAGCTGAATTAACTTTGATAACAATATTAATTGCTTTTCAAAAGTCTATTTTCCGTGCTTTGAAATAAGGCAGAAATTTGATTTAATACAAGTTTTTGGGGAAGTTAAGTCCTAATGCTATTGTTTGATTTGGACAGGTACAAGTTGGATTGCACGAGTTGCTCGGCCATGGCAGTGGTAAGCTGTTGATGCAGAATGCTGACGGTAGCTTCAACTTCGAAAAGGACTCCGTTATCAACCCTCTTACTGGTAAGATAAGAACAAAGAAACGGGGCTACTAGCGTTTTTTCTTTTTCATTTCCTGATAAATATTAATCTAATACAAATATTTTATTAGCTGGTCGTGTAAGTCGTTTAAAAACCAATTTATTTACTTATTTTTTTGTAAAAGGATTTTATTTTAACAGTTGCTCCACTACGTTTTACTCCTGTGTCGTGGGTCCGTTTACAAACATACAAGTTCACACACACAAGACACCTAGACCCGGAACAACAATTAGTGAATTACACTAAGAGTTGTTCCGTGTGGGAATCTAACCTACGACACATCGCGCGGGAGACAGTTGCCCAACCACCGCGCCAACCATGCATTCAAAGATAGATAGATAGAGAACATTGTGTTAAAGTTATATTGGTTCAATAATGAAAACAAAAAAAACGGCAGTGGTTCCGTTTCTTTACTCCAAAGTGTATAATTTATGTTCATAGTGAGAGAAAATAACGTAACTCTATGAATCATGTCAATATTGCATTTTATTGGTAAACTGTAATTTCTCTTTAATGTTCTGTAAATGAATGGAAACCATTTATTCTTAATCTTCTACTAATTAATTCGCCTTACTCAGATAAATTAATAGTACCACGATAGAAGTGGATTCGTTCCATGATAATCTAATTTAGATAACACTGATATAAGCCATTGTCATCTTTATTGACTGTTTCGATGATCAAGTGGATATGAGCGTGACTAATAAACAATAGAGTGGGGGATCATCAAAGTAGTGTTGGGTAGTTACAATTTTGCAAAATTGTCAGTGGTAAAATAAAAATATTGGAATTCTGCCCAATGTAATAAATGCAAATTATCCTTTTGTTAAATCGAGTAAGTTACTTTTATTGTAATGTATGTGTAATGTTCCTTTTTCTTATCTTAGGCAAACAGATCGAGTCGTGGTACTCTCCTGGCGAAACCTACGACAGCAAGTTCACGACCCTCGGCTCTGCTTTCGAAGAGTGCCGCGCTGAAGCCGTCGGTCTCTATCTATCGCTGGTACCTGAGATACTCAAGTAAGTATCCTTGCAGGGTCACAGGCTGATTGAGTGTATAAAGAAATAAACATATTTTTAATCATCTTTTAGCTTAGATTGGCACACTAATTTTGCAACAGATTCCGAAGCATCGCGAGTTACAGACAGTCCCTACGATACAATTGCATGATCTAGAATGAAAACATATTGGTGCAAGACGTTTCATTTTGAAAAGTTTCCTCCTTTTGATAACCCTGCAAAATCGAACGATATCTTGTATAATAAAAATCATAAATCAATCTTTTTGAGAACAAGGCACTGTTAAAATAAGTTTTGTTACATACCTATTTCAAAAAATATCTTCCCTTTTAGAGTCTTCGGCTACGAGGGTCAGGAAGCGCAAGACGTGACGTACGTGAACTGGCTGAGTCTGCTGTGGAACGGCGCCGCTAAGGCCACCGAGATGTACCAACCAAACACCAAGACTTGGCTGCAGGTACAATGCCACCACCACTATTATTTATCTTATAACTAGCTACACCCGCTCTGCTCGTCTTCTATTGATCGTAGCGTAATGTTTTATACCCTTACTCCATAATTGGACTATCCAACACAAAAATAATTATTCAAATCTGACCAGCAGTTTCTGAAATTAGCGCGTTCAAACTCTTCAGCTTTAAATAATAGTATAAGATGTAGTAGTTTGTAAAGTATTGTGTAATATTTGCACTATCTAACCATAAGATAACTGGCGAAATCAACCACAATATGTCCACTGCTGAACATAAGCCTCCCCCAAATCTATACCAGGCATGTAGAAAATTACCAACACTGCGTGTAGGTATCTAATATACTTATTATGTTCAGGCGCACGCCCGTGCCCGCTTTGTGTTGATGCGTCTGTTGGAGCTGGAGGGCGAGGGCATGCTCACCATCACGGAGTCGGAACCTGGGAAGAATCTGCTCCTCACTCTGCAACGGGAACATCTTGCTACTCGCGGCAAGAAAATTATTGGTATGTACTATATCAATCTCATCATATAAAAAATTATAAACTTGTTTTTGCGATATTTATTTAATTGACTGCACGGCTGGTGCGGTGGCTGGGCAACCGGCTGCCGTGCAACGTGTCGCGGGTTCGATTCCCGCACGGGACAACACTTTGTGTGATCCACAAATTGTTGTTTCGGGTCTGGGTGTCATTGTGTATGTGAACTTATATGTTTGTAAACGCACCCACGACACAGGAGAAAATCCTAGTGTGGGGCAACGTTTAAAAAAATAAATAAAAAATAAAACTAATTCATACGAAGTTCATTAGAAAAGTATTATAACATAAATATAAACCACCTACTCCATTTACAGGGGACTTCCTGGTGAAACTGCAAACTATCAAGGCTACAGGAGACGTGGAAGCTGGAGAAAAACTGTTCGACAAGTACAGTCGGCTGGACGAGCCGTGGAACCGTTGGCGCGATATTGTCCTGATGCACAAACAGCCACGCAATATCTTTGTGCAGCCTAATACTATTGTTGGCGAGGGTAAGTTATCTACTCTATGCAATATCCTTCGGGCTATTTCTTCGTAAAAGCATTTACTTTGAATTGTCAGTTTACTCATCCCAACCTGTATTTAGGACGTATTCAACGAAAAAAAAACTAAATGTAGTATATTTCTTACTAAATTATTGACTGAGGTGTGTGTGTGTACTTTTCAATTCAGTTAACAGATAAATTTTTACAATCTTTTTTTATTTTTAGGTAAACAAGTAGAGCTGAAGCGCTACCCAGCCACTGCAGAAGGTATGATCGCGTCCTGGGTGGAACGCTTCCCCACCACCGACGTGGATGAATTCCTGGAAGAACTGACTGAGAAGGACAGCTCACACTTCCGGGACCTGAAGGCCGTCGCCACCATGTAACTACCGTAAACGCATAATAAATATTTAATTGTTAATTAAAGTATACTCCCGATGGTACTAACTTTAAATATCATAATATATACAGACTGTATACAAATTGGGTGTTTTATTTGATAAACTGATGAGACCATTTTTGTTTTGTAATTAAGTCGAAACTAGATTAATTTTTGCGCAATTTCATATCCAGTAATCATAAACCTGTTCTTGTTTTCAAATGACGCAACGATTTACATGTAAAAAACCGGGCGTAATCCCAATTCTTGTCCTCCATACAGCCATGAAATAATTTGATAAGAGTATCTTAAACCTTAAGATATTACTGCATCATAGTTATGATCACTCAAGTAATAATTGGGAGACAAATAATAAAACACATTTTAACTATATAATTTATTGACATTCAATACAAAACGTGTGTGATAGCAAATTTAATATCCATCTCGAGAATCACAGTTCCTATGTCACCGCGGTAACTATGTCTAAAGAGAAATATTAAAAATCATCACACACCAATAAATAATTTTCAATTCTAATAAAAATAATAAATAGATTCGAAATTACAAAGATGAACGGATTTGCGTAAAATTATTGCTTTTTATAACACCACTGTAATGTAACTAGCCACTCCTTCAGCAAATGAATTATGACAAACGAGTTGCGCTCCACCGCCGCGTCGTATACACTGATACAGTACTAGTCGAGTGGAACAAACGGCAGCAGCTTATAACAATACATTTAAAACTGAAAAACTATTGCTAAAATATACACGTTTGTGTGAGTTTATAACACGTCCGGTCTATACATAGTTATCCCTAATGAAATCATCTAAGCACCATTCTATTCGATTACTGTTACGTCGTGACTTAGCATTCAATACTATAATGATTATGATAAATATTTAAACTTAAATTGACTTAGGGTCACATAAAAATGTAAATTGATAGTAACTAAGAAAAATTATAGTTAATAATGTTGAGTAAAACGTATTTGTGCAAACACACTCTAAAATTTGTGTCCGTTTATATATTTCAATAAAATGGACTATATCAAATCCAGTCACTTATGTTTTATAAAGGCACATAAGAATCAATTTACAATAAACACTTAACAAAAAGTTCACTCTTGCAAAATATATTATTACACTTCAATAGTCAATCGCATATTTTAACAGTAACAAAATGGGTTCAGCTTGGTAAGCCGTATCAAATATGCGGCTATTGAGCACCGCGCTTTAGAGAAAGCCAACATAGTTGATATATTGTATATAAAAATTGATTTATAAATACTATCATCTCATATAATTTGATGAATCTGTGTGACACTATCTACACATTATTTATAATTAATTTGATTTGATACTCTGATACGCCTTAGATTCGGAAATGCTCAAAGTACTCTTATATTGTTGCATGTCATGAATTATGAAGTCAGTGAGAGATTCATTGCAATATTATCTAAGTTTGCCACTAAAGACAGTCTTCTGTCGGTGATGAGATTCTATTAATTTACATGAAATCTAAAACACGTGAGTGTATATTCTACGTTTGGCAAGAGTATCGATACACCCTCAATTAGATCAACACTAATAAGACTCTAATGACATTGTAAATAAGTTATAACAAAAACAATGAAAGCATCAAGTTCCATCAGATACGCCTACACCTACAGTGTCCTCGCGATAAGTTTGTTGTCAAAAATGCTTATATAAATCACAAAATTAATTTGCATTCTGCACAATCAATAATTCCTCTCAGTCAACTTTCTCAGAGCATTCTGCACCGTCGCCTTCGCGGTCGCCTTTCGGTGAGATATTGGATCTGAAACATTACACTTGCGTTATGTGGCTGGAAACAACAGGGACTCGTTGCTTCTCGTAATATTGCTCTGTGATGTGTCAATATAATGATAATAGTGCATATTATATATTTCAGATATTAATTCTACTGTCATGATTTTGAACGTTAAATGATGTCGGTAGCTGTTGTGAAACTGTTTATAGAGTAACTACGAGCAATATCTTTGTGGGCTCATTAACGTGATATATTAGATCTACTATCTACAGTTCGAGGCATATTTTACATATTTCACAAAACTTCTTGTTTGCTTATATATAGGAAGTAAAACTTTTTAAAAGCATTAGTGCTATAAACTTAATTCGGAAGCGTGAAGCGTGCACAGAATAAAATCGTATTATCTTTCACTTTGGGAAAGTTATTTTGAATTATTTACGTGACATGTAAGTACAAAAGTATACACACCTTGGCAGTGTTTCCTTCTCAGCGTCAGGTTTCCTGGTCACGCTGATTGATATCTTTTTTCTTTGCCTTATTTTTTCCAATATATTTTCCGGGCTCGGTTCTTTTTCACTCTCCTTCAAAATAATGGCAGAGTTGCGAGTGGTTCTTTTCGGTCTATAAGTAGCATAGTTACCAGGTGAATACATTGATATAGTTCTGTTGTATTTGTGCGGATCTCTCAATGAGTTAACGAGACTGTTATCCTCCGCTGCATCGCAGCTGTCCAAAAGGGATTTTGTTCTCGAGTACCTGTTCGCACTGTATGAGGACGGTTGATCGTAATCTAGATAACTTCTTCCCGGATATTTCCTAAAGTCGTTGCGATCGAGAGATCTATAAGTATCAATTTTATCATTCAGTCCATAGTTGTCAAATCTTATGTTACTCCTAGTGTTTACAGGCAGGTCGGTTAAAAGAGATCTATAGCGTTCCGTGGACGGCGACAAGTCAGACGAGACGGAGAGCCCTGGCGACATTGGAGACAAGTCGTAGGTGAGCGGTGATGTCGGTGACACGTCGTACTTAGTGTCAGTCGGTTGAGCATGTATTCTAGCGACCGGGTCGTACTCAGTTGCTCCAGGGCCCACTAAACTACTTTTTCGTCGTTGCTTCTTTTCGTTGAATCTAGAATAAAAGCTTTTCCTACGTATTCTGTCGACAATGTCTTCTTTTTCCGGCGTAGTGGAATCGTGACTTCGTAGATTTACTGTGGCGTTTTCTGAGAGTGACAGGGTTCTATCTGGTAATTTATTATCAGCACTAACATCAGACTTCAACTCGGAGTTTGAAATAGTTGACCTACTTCTCGACCGGCTGCGACTCTGTGGTTCTGTGTAATCAGTATTTAAGCTACTGTCTACAAGTATGGCATTCTTTTCTGGAATATCTTTCTTTTCAGTCTCACCGTCAACAGAGGAAATATTCATAATTTGAGGTTCTATCACAGGATTAGTAGGAACTATTTTCTTAACTCTTGGCAACCTAGAGAAATCTAATTTTAAACTGTTTCTAATATTGGACTTGGATTCGTTTTCCTTTTTGGACGTAGACTTGTTATCGTTGTCTGTGGAGACGCTGTCACTAGATGTTCGACCGTATTTATTTTTGTTTCCAAGTCCATTTAGAAGTAGAGAAGTTGGTCTGCGAGGCTTGTCTTTGTCTAGACTATCCTCACTGGGCTCAGTAGTGTTGGATTCAGTTTTACCGTTGGTTTCAGTCTGGGGTTCAACACTTTCCGGGAGCACTTTTTCAACAACAGGCTTTGACCTTTCCTTGGGTTCAAATTTCTTAAATAGCCCTAATACTTTGGAAACTGTAGTTTTGGTTGGAGGTGTATTCTGAGTTTCTAAAGCGGCGACATCAGTCAGAGTGACAGCTCTTTTAATAAGATTGGATTCGGTCGTAGGCTCCACGTTGACGGGCACTGATTGCTCTCGTTGCAACCTGCTTAACTTGGAACTATCTTTCTTCGCTTCAGTCTTTGCATTGTTTTCAGCGCTCTTTTCGGGCGAGCTAGATTTATTAGATGCAAACTTTTCTAACTTATGACCTATTGATTGCAAAACAGATTTCTTTTTTGTGACTGTTGTCGGTTTCGTACCATCGTCGTCAGCAACCTTTTCTTTCACTTTTTTAGTGACTTTCTTTTTTTCCGAAGCCACTTTAGCATCACTCGTATCTTGGTTGCTTCCTATGTCAGTCTTAGATTTCGATGAAACTTTCCTAATGATCTTTTTCTTTACTGTTCCTTTCTTTTCGGTTTGTTCAGTGTCACCTGTTTTTGCAACTATTTCATCTTTTTTCGTCGATTGATCTACTGTGGTATGCTTAGTGTCCCCGTTAGAAGTAACTTTCGCTACATCAACCGATGGTCCACCATTGGGAACTATTGTACTGTTTTCTGTTTTCACTTCTGTCGATTCAGACTTATCGCTATCTCTATTTTTGATTATACTATACTTTTTTAAAGACAAAGTAGAGTCACTAGGTTTAGATTCTGTTTCCAATTTAGAATCGGTATTATTTTCCAACGTAATATCGTTTTTCACCGGATCAGGTTTCGTCACTGCTTCAGGCTTTTTCCTAGGCAAGGTAATACTGAAACTTACTTCTATATCGGACTTGATTTCGGGATTAACGGTCTCATCTTTAGGTGAAGTTTCTTTAGAGTCTTCTTTTTTAATATTACGACTAATATAAACTTTTTCAGGCGACGGACTACTTGCAGGGTAACTTTTCGGTCTTATTAATTTTGACTCCCTCGGCAAGGACCTCTCTTTACTATCATAATCCCTACTAAACGAAGTTTCAGGTAGTACATTTTCACTGGGTTCATCTATAGAATCTAACGTCTTCACAGGATAGCTTTTGGGTCGGATCAATCTGGAATCTTTATTTAAGTTTTCATCAATAACTGATTTTTGTCTTGCACTTTCCCAACTAGTGTATCGTTTCGAGTTCGACGTCGATGCGGACGAATCCACCGCGGTTTCTTTGATGTTATCGAGGATCGGGAAAAACGGAGTGTTTGACCTACTACGCTCCTTTCCAGTAACGAGCCCAATGGGCGAGAGAGATTTCTTAGGAGCGATAATGTCGTCCCTAAATGCTGGCGGGGCGTCGGTTATGTCGGTGGGACTTCTTGCAGCCGCTGCCTCTTGTGATTTGTTTCTCTTTTCTCTAATCTCTCGCAAGATTTTTTGT